GCCTACAGTATTTTTACAGTCTTTATTTTACAGTTAAAATAAATGTTTATTAAATAAAGTCTAATGTTACAACTAATCATGGATCCTTTAAAACTTGTTCCTCTTGTTTTTATATCCTCTCCTCTTTTATAAAATAAATAATTAGCATCCTCTTGTTTTTCTGTTACAGGGAAGTTCAAGTTACTGGATGAAGATCGTGACGTCAGGGATCCAGTCCAGTATTTCTCCAGCGTGGAGGAAGTTGCCGGAGTCTTCCCTGATCGGGTCTTTGTCATGGAGACAATCACTTTCAGTGTGAAGGTCAGCACCAGTCACTTTCTGGATGATGACTTCCTGTTGATGTCTGGGTGGCTGTAGATCATAACTATCATACATCATCCAGACCCAACGTCACAAACACAGCCCTGTGTGTCTTCCAGGTGGTTTCAGGGGAGTTCAGTGAAGACAGCGAGCCCTACAGCTTCACTCTGCAGGCTGGAGATGAGCTGTCACTCATGGGGAAGGCGGAGCTTCTCTGTGCCACACCCCCAAAGGAAAAAACAGGACTTAGCGCGCTCCTGAGACGCCTGGGAAAGACTCCTAGAAGTGAGCGAGTTCCAACATTTTAAATGTTCACATGTAGGAGTGAGCAATGCTGGGCATAGTCTGCTGATCCACTAACAGCAGAACTAGCTTCTTATTTAGCAGATTAGCTCTTTGAAACCGGATAATAGACAGATTAGCTTCTGCTAAATTAGGTTCTGCTAATTTTAAGTCTGCTAAAATTTCCACAAGAGTTGAATTTCTATTTTTATGCTGTTTATCGCAAATTAAATAAAAACTATCTATTGTTACAATCAGTGCTGAACGTGTCAGTGTGTAGCATATAGCATGTAGCATCTTTAGCAGCTAAAACTCAAACTAAGAGCGTCAAAAAGAAGTTAAATAGTCTTTAATAAAATGTAAATAACAAATAAAAATAACAACTATGCATAAAATATAGAGGAAMCTATTTGTGGTTTGACTAACTTCAAACAGGATTTATAAAAAGGCTTTTATTCTGAAAAGGTTAAACTGGAAGTATCACAAGTTAGACAGGACTTTAACTCTGGTGGCCGATTAGCCACAGATGATCCCGCCCACCTTCAAATTAAACCAATAGAAAATTAACAGGTTTGTGTCAATCCACCAGTCTTCACCAAGCAGAGGAAGTCATTTTAGCAGTTAGCGGTTAGCGGTTAGCGTTATCTTCCTCTCATTTTTAGCACACAGATGTAAACACAGATGTGGGACTCTAACCTTCAAAGGTTACAGCCTTGTTGTTAAAAATATAAAGTTCTGTTCAAAGAGTGAATTTAAAAACTCAGATGTTTGTACTTTATTTAGAAACGTATCAGGAACTGAAAGGAGCTGCTTCTCTGACTGACAGGAAACATTCGTTGGTCAGGTCTGTAAATGATCGGTGCTGTCCGACTCTGTTCTGGACACGGCTGAATGGAGTAAGGCATGCAGGTTTATACCCACAACAAGAAACACTGCTTAGTGTATTTTTATTGGCCAGTTTTGGCAATATGTGAATAAAAGACTGAAACTATTGGGACACAAACATGAACACGTCTTCTCCTCTCAGTGGTCGATAATTAGATGTCAGCAACAGTAAAGGTCATGAAAATGTGGGAAAATTAAACCTTTCCACATAACCTCTAAAGTTTGACTGCTCAGTAAGATTTCTTTCAGAGTAGAAATAGATCAACAATTTGTTTGTCAATACAAATTGCAAAAAAATGGAGGATTTCATCATGTGCAGTACATATTATTAAAGGATTCGGAGAAAGCAGAAATATCTTTGTACACCAGGGACGAGCCATAGAATCTATTTTGAATGGTTGGAATCTACAGCCCCTCCGGCTGCAGCACATTAATAAAAAATGTTTAAACTCCAGCATGCAGGAGAAATAAAACCAGCTCTGCTTGACTCCAGCTCGTCCAGGATGAACCGAGCTGAAGAGGAAAACAGTCTCGTAACCCGATGACTTGAAATTTGTTTTTGGGAATCATGAACACTGGCTGCTCCAGGCCAAAGTGTTCACACAGGACCTTCAGAGACAACAACTCACTTAAAACCTCCTCATCTGTTGGTCTCTGGAGCTCCTGAATTCTCCGAAAGTTAAAGGAAGAAGTGATGCAACACACTGGTAAACATGCCTCAACCAATATATACATGTTAAAATTTATATCTCAGTTTGACTTTCTGCTAGTTTCTTATTAAATAAAACATTTAAATGTTTACAGTTTACTGAACAACTTGTGTCTGACAAAAAATAAGAATAAAAATAAAAAGTGACGGTTCCTTTTAATGATGTCATCCCACAAATCTTGTTAGTTTTTGCAGAGATAAAGGCTGGAAATGTGTTTGTAGAGATCATGAGATAAAGAAAGAGAAACTTAGATCTGTTTTAATAAATACTTCCTGAACCAACAACTCTTATCAGACATGTCAACACTTCAAACATTTATCTTTATCTGGACTCTCAGGAATCCATCATTTTCACAACCAATCTATTCTCTACTGTCAGGTGAGGTACGGGGGAGTGGAGTTGTTTGATGTTTATGTCTAAATTTCTCCTCAYCTAATGTGTAATTCAACTATTAGAAAGTAATCAGTGGCTTGAAAGGACGTGGACATTTGCATTTACTGAAAGGCCTTAAATAAGCCAGGTTTTTATTTTTCTTTGGTTTGATTTATTTATTTAATTATTCTGTTTTGGGGTTTTTATTTGTAAGTTTGTAACTTCTTTGGTTAGGGTATACGGAGRGCCACGTGTAAATTAAAATGTTAAAATATGTCCCCAACATGTTTTGATTGTTTAGCTCACTTTCTGGGTGTAAAGRAAAAAATCCAAAATATTTTATTATTTAATTCACTTCTCTCATATTTTGCAATATTTTTACTAAATGTTAAATATGAATGTTTAATTT